TGGATATGGGGTGTGTCCTCCCCATAGCCACTGTTTGACATTACCATGGCAGACGATGCAACTGCACGACCAGGTTCTAGGTTAATTAACTCACTCAAAACACTAATCGCATGTGTACCTACCATAAGTGTTGACCACCAGACTCGAAATATTGTAAGCACGAGATCGCTCTACGGTTAAGTGAGGGCTACATGTGTCATTTGGTTTACCCAATAATTTCTCCTAAAATTCCTATGACACCTTATATTTCAAGATGGAGGGAGTATAATATTAAAGGCAGTCTCAATGCTCCTAGTACGATAGTTTTGGTAGCATTAAACAGACGAACACATAGACAATTTGATGATATGGTAGGAGAGTTTCAAACCAATATGGTAGGAGAGTTAAGAGAGGAGGAATATCACACCCTAAAATTTTTGAATTTTAGGATGTGATTGAGAAACACAAATAAAGCCATTATCGAATTTTAAAATTTTTCCAACTATTGGTAAATGGCTTGAATTTTTGGTTCATGGACAATGTTATTTCTAATCAGATTAAATAATCATAAGCTATATAACTGGTTGAAGCATTCATGACACTACACTGCTAGATAAATTTGCTTGTTTTGTTTCGCTCTCTAATTTCTATCAGGGAAAAAATGCCTCAATCTTTTGTGCCTGTGTAGAACGGCATTTTGGCCCCAGAATCTTTGATAACCTGGGTTCAGCCCATGTCTTAACCTTCTTTCACCGCCAAGCCTGCGCTTATCTTCGTTTTGGGCCGTCCAGCTAACCCCAGCAGCAGCCAGCTCGTTATTATTTCCCCACGATCTCCCTTCTTTGACTCACAATATGCCTGCGTGTGATTGATCCTAAAAAAGACATAGCCTCCAAGTCTAAGTGCTCTCTTGTCCGTTAGGGCATAATAAAAGAACTAGCTCACACACTTTTTTCTATTATTATTCATGTGTCTATATATTTACATATTTTTCTATATTAGTATTGTTAGATTACTCTGTTTTATCACTTTTTAGTTCATATGAGCTAGCAAGTCGGCTCTATCGTTCACACGAACACGGTGCCCTTAGGACATCTTTAGTGGCCTTCCAAAGAGGTGCAGTTCATCGTGGCATTGCCATGAGCTGATTCAACCCGTGTAGGATACCGCACCTTCGAGGAGAGAAGAATCATTGCAAAGATTAATGCAAATAAAAAATAAATCATGCGGTTCTGCACCTAGGGGAGGGACCGGGAATTCAGCCTGTTCGGGAGGCCGTATCGTATCGTGGATTATTTACTGCTGGCTGGTTTGGTGTGAGAGAAAAACACTATTCCTGGCTGGAAATTTACGATCGTTTACGAGCAAGCGAACAGGCTGATTAAGGTCTATCCCGTGTGTGTGGCTGTGGCACGAATCTCCTTAAGTCCCGTTCGTTTCACACAAAATGGCTATCAAGAAAAATTCCAGACGGAATTGATAGTTAATTTATACAAGCTTTTATTAACCGGAATGATTCCTGGCCACATTCATCTCTAACCGAACGGGCCCTATGTAGGGCCCTAGTGAGGAGGTGGTACCGTTCTACAGTGTTTTGACTAAGTTTTACCAAGGACATAAAGAAGCCCTTGTAATGGCATCAAGGTAAGGTCGGATTGTATATTGGACTTCACCATGATGTAGCTTTGTCTTGACGATTGAAACACACATATGGATCTCCTAAGTCAGAGTCCAGGTGAAGTATTTATGATGCTTGGAAAATCACACAAGCTCACTCAATCCATGGAATAGGTCACTTATATGCATACTGAACCATCTAGTTCACCATACCAGAGCATACAGTTTTGGTAGTCCAGAGCTGTAGATCTATTCTGAGTCGGTTTTTAACACGTTTTGGATATGGTTTTAGATCTCTCAGTCGTATGATACAAAAGTTAACCCTATGAATATAAAGGGCCAAGACCGATTGAGACAACTAATCCCTTCAATTTACTGTGCATTTACCTTTTTACTCCTAAACCTAATATCTCTTTTTTAAACCTGCATTGTTGTTCATCTATTGATCTCGACGAGAACACGACCACAGATGGTATCATAGGCTTGCTAGCTGACCTAAGGCACATAAGCGACATCCCCACCGTGACAGGGCCCCCTCCTGGGAAAGAGTTTCGGCGGACTTAACTAGTTTGCTTGTAAACTAGTCGTTCTTTGTCACGTGAGTACAATATTTATCTTTTGCTGGTTTGAACTAGCCATCAACGACCAGTAAAGGTGAGATTTACCTCTTCTCGTGAGCATGCAACTCGAGAATATATTGGACCTTCCGGTTTTGACAGCTTGTACCGCAAGTTTCTCTAGTAGCACTTTGGTGTGTGGTCACGTTTTGCGCAAACAACTATCTTCTTGATGCAGACTGATGAGTTGGGGCACTGCTGACATATCGGCATCTCCTATCTGGTACACAACCCCCTCGCTCCAGTATCGCTTGCATTTGACAAAATCCTGATAAAACCACAATGTGCAGAGAACAAGGAAACATCTACGCTTTACTTCCAATATCGCTTGCATTCATCAAATTCTGATAAAACCACGCTGTACAGAGAATAAAGAGAAACCTTCCAGACCCAAAAAGAAAAGAAAAAATAGCCCGCCACTCACACACGACTTTATTATCAAACCAACCGCGGCACTTTGCCCTGTGAAGTCAACACACGCCAAGAAAGGCTTTTTTGGTTAGGCACGCCTCATATTTTCGGTAACACGTACAATCGCCGCCTAGATTTCATATGTGATGCCAACCTTGAGCAGCTGATCTTTGGGAATGGCCAGCGCCTTGTGCCCCTCCGTCAGGTTCTTCCTCAAGAAGGTGTAGATGTAGTTGACCACTATCTTCTTCAAGATGGACGACTTGGGCCCTGCCGACACGTTGGCCTCGCCCATCAGGTACACCACCCCTCGCTCCACCTCCCGGTCGATCAGCTGCTTCTCCTCCTCGGCCGTCTGGTTGGCGTGGAACGTGATCCGCCCGGAGTTCGTGCTCACCCTCGACTGGATCGCCTCCTCGCTGTGCACGACGGAGCTCGTGGACCGCCTCGGCCTCGCCGGCGCCTGCTGATCCGCCGCCTCGTCGTCCTCGTTCTCCGCCTCGTTGTTCTGCGCGAACGCGATCTCCTCCTGGATGAACATCTTGAGCCTGTCCACGAGGAAGGCCGCGAACTCCTTGGGCTCCTCCAGCGCGTCGCTGTACCCGTACCGCGCCACGCACCGGAACATCCGCTGCTCCCTCGGGCCGACCTGCCGGAACAGGAACCTCTCCGCGGGCGCCACGTGCGTGATGGGCAGGTGCTTGATGGACATGAAGAGGAAGATGGCGTGCACGGACGGGATCTTCTTGATGAGGCGAGGGAACACCGGCGGGATGCCCTGGACGAGCTCCGTGTACAGGAGCCCGACGCCGGGGATCCGCCGCACGTCGTTCTTCTCCAGCAGCGTCGTCATCTGGTTGGTGGGCACGATGTGGTCCAGCTCGTACCAGTACCTCTTCACGTGGACGTAGTGCCACGTCGCCATCAGCGTCATCAGGACCAGCGCGAAGCAGAACGGCAGGTACCCGCCCTGGATGAACTTGGACAGGATGGACGAGAGGTAGATCAGCTCTGTGAAACCGAACACCACGTAGAAGAGGAGCACGTAGACGATGTGCTTCTTCCATATGACCAGCATCACCACGGTCATCAGATGGGTGGTGATGGAGAACGTGGTCACCACACAGATCCCTGCATGTTACAGCACCACCAATGTCAAAATCAGATGCATCATGCATCATGAGACAAACGGTTTTCACTCGATCCGGCAGTGCTCTTTCTAGTATTTTTCTTACCGTAGGCGTTGCCGATGCTGGTGGTCGTTCTGAAGGCAATTGTGACGATGATGCTCGCCAGTCCCATCAAGAAGTTCACCTCTGGGATGTACACCTGCCCTTCGTACTTCTTCGAGGTGTGGATCACTTGGACCCTGGGGAGACAGCCCAGCGACAGTGCCTTGGAGAGGATGGCGAATGCACCAGAGAGCATAGCTTGGCTTGCAATGATGGCAGCGAGGATTGCTACGATGAAGGTTGGCCAGAACAGAGGTACTGCAGAACAAAAAGGAATAGTCAGCCATAGTTCGTGGACCACGTTGATATGAAGCCATCGCCAAGAAGCATTACTACCGCAGTACATACAGGTCATCATTGTTTATAAAGTACCTGGGATGGATCTATAGAAGGTGTCTCCAACGTTCTCTGGGAATTTCCGCAGGTACGCTGCTTGCCCGATGTAACACAGTACCACCGATGGGAACAAGATGCCGTTGAAGCTGATCTGCAGGAGTACAATACAGAAACCATTGTCAGATAAGATGCTTCTGGTGTGCGAGACCTCTGGCTCTGGGACAGATTACAAGTTATGGAAAACTAGATGCAGAGTTGAGTGTAATATAAAACATCAAAGTGAAAAACTCATATGCACTTTTGGCCATTACCTGAACGGCCCTGATGTTGAAATGTCCAAGGTCAGCAAACATACCTTCTGTGCCTGTTGCATGTTGCAGTGAATTCAGATTACACACACAAGGTTTACATTGCAGTTTTCTCTTTGGTCAGGAAAAAAAAAGGTTACCTGTGACGCACAGGATAATACCACCAAGTGAAACCCATCCTTCCTTTCCGTTCCGCTTGAAGTACTGTACTATGTACCACGGATTGAAGGCCCGAAGAACACCGATGTCGTGGACGACAAGGTTGTAGAGTCCAATGCCGGCAATCAGCAGGAACCACACCGAGATGACTGGAGCGAAGGTGTACCCAACCTTGTCGGTCCCGAAACGCTGAACCGAGAAGAGCAAGAAGAGGATTGCCACAGAGATCCAGACTACTTCCGCTGTAGGAAAACCGACAACAGAGAGATGTTAGTCAGCGTGACTATGAACAGGGGTAACAATTGGTCATTAATCTGTCAGTAGCTCTTAGTTCCACATACTCTGAGTCAAGTTTGGTGCCTTCTCCTTGATCCCGCTTACCGCAGACAGCACTGCAGAATATCAATAAACAAGAACACATTATTAGTTAGTATACATACTATGCAAACATGTTAATTACGATACCATCATATATAGCAGTAACTAATAACTAGATGTGCGTGGTGTCTAATATAATGTTTCTGTTAATTACCAGATATCGCCGGCGTCAGGGTTCCGTCGCCCATCACCATGGATGTGCCAAGGATTGTGAGGGTGAAGAGCACAATCTTGGCTGCCTTGCTGGACTCGAGCTTCTGCTTGAACCATTGAGCCCTCCTCAGCTGTGAGTTCGGCGCTTCTATGCTGTAATTCGACACCATGGCGTCCTCTGCCTGCTGGTTGGGGATCAGCCTGATCTTGGCGTACCGCGATATCAGCGAGTACAGCGCAAACGTGCCGCCTAGAAAAAATGCTCGTTGATGATCAGTAAATATAAACAAACAGCAGAAAAAACAGCAGGCAGGCATGGCACGCCTGTCCCCAAGGCCAGGTTTAATCTGGGAGTAAAATTATATATATATATATAGACACACACACACACACAGATATGTGTGCTCTGGTCAGTGCTCACCGTCTCCATTGTCGTTGGCGTAGAGCACGATGAAGACGTACTTGAGCATGGGGATGACGATGAGGGTGTAGATGATGAGCGACAGGACGCCGAGCAGATCGTCGTTGTACTTGATGCCGTCAGGGAAGGTGCTGGAGTAGACGTAGAGCGGCGACGTCCCGATGTCGCCGTAGATGATGCCGACGCTCTGGAAGGCGAGGTGCAGCGTCCTGGCCCAGCTCCCCTCGGACCCATGGTACTTGCCGCCGGAGACCTTCTCCGCGTCGCCGAAGAGCGAGTCGTGGCGCTTGAGGCTGAGCCGGTTCGCCGACTCGCCTCCTCCTCCTCCGGGGTTGTCCACCTCCAGCGACGACGACATGGATCTCCTCGGTCGGATCTCCCAGCACCTTGGAACGAACCACGGACGAAAGCCCTCTTCTTTTAACGACGAAACCCAAGAAGAACGATGGGAGTAGTCTGGTCTCTCTTGAGAATCTCGAGTTCTAGTCACGCCGCGCCACCTGATCCCTGCATCCTCCAATTCCCAAGACGTTAATTAGGGGGGTGACGCTGTGACAGCGAAGCAACAACTTTTGTTTTACATTCACAAGTCACAACAACTTTCTTGGTTAGTTAACCGAGATAGGAACTATATATAGTAGACACACGAAAAAAAAATCTTTAATTAAAAGGGGGGAAACAAGAAAAGGGCAGGCTCCTTTGCCGCTAACCAACGAATTTTGACAAATGGGAAATTTAGGGGGTGTTTGATTGAAGGGATGAGAAGAGATGGGATTGGGATGAGCCTATTTTTCTGTTTTGATTAAGGCTGGAGCTGAAATGTTCTTGTGGGCTATGAGCTATGAAAAAGCTCTTTGTGGGGTAGTCGAGAAAAGTAAAGCTGTTTGGTTAAACAAGTATAAAATATACCTTTTATCTTTATCTCTCTTGAAACAACTATGGAAGAGCTTTTTATTCCACCAATTTCAAAAGCGAGAAGTCAAAAGCCAAAAGCTGAAACTTTCAAAAATGAATCTACGGAAGCATTCAAAAAGACACCTTCCAAACATCCTTTTTGAGAAAAAAGCTAAAAGCCAAAAAGCCCAACCAAACAGGGCCTAAGAGTCCGCTGAAACTGTGACATCCTATCTACAGCATATTCCCTCAAAACGAGAGCGAGCGCGTCCCAGCCAAAAACGGCTACAATGCAATCGGTGATTGACTGCGAACAAATTCTACTAATAAATGCATATCGATCTTAGTAAGAACTTTTGTCACGTTGCTAGTGAATAATCTGCGTGCTGATGGTATCATTAATACTTGGAGAAATGCTACGAGCTATGTCAATTCTACAACTACTACAAATTGCTGGATCCAGAAAAGGGACACCCACAAATTAACTGGCAGCGAGTAAGAACACGAACGCTACTCATTAGTCCCATCATTATTACTAGGCTGCCTGGTCAATGCACCAGTGGGCGCCACACGTCAGTCACAGGAGCCAACTCCAAAACAGCGTGATGGAGTGACCAAGCTGAAATAAGCCCCACTTCATTGTTCAAAAAATAAGCCCAAGTAATTTCTACGGTTTATTTTTTTCCAAATAAAGAGAAATCTATAGAGAAGAAAAAATGGACAAGGGACTCATCATTCCAATAGTAGGAGTATAATCACATACTCCACTTGACTTCCAAACCATAGATTATTGTTAATGTATTTCAGCTAATCAGCTGTGTACACCACCAACCCATCTGAGAAATTTCAGGTGGGAGGGACTAGGGAGAAATTTCCACGGATCCCCTCGGCCTCGGGTCGCGTACACCGCCCTCGCTCGCTTCCAAAAGGCCAAGATGATTTATTTATATAATAAATAACTAAATAAGATTAGTGTAAGGGCTAATCAGCCAGTAAACTGACGCCATTGGGGGTACCCTTGACCTCCCACAGCTACAGCCATCAACGCCTGCTGACACGTGGGCAACTCAGGAACCTCTTTTTTACCACCACTACTACTAGTGACTGACACAGTTTTTTGGGAAGAGAAAATAAGTAAAAAGATCATTTTTGCACACGCACTCTCTTCGTGCGTGATCTTTTCTTCTTTCTTATTTCTCTGGATGATTTGAGCTGCATCCAGATCGAGACTGTGATCGAAAAGAGGAAGAGATCGCTTGCATACGACATCTTCGAAAGAGATTGCGTCTATGGGGGAAAAGGCTGTGCTGGGTTGGGCACGCGTCTATGGGGGAAGAAATTACTGACGCAGGGAACAAAAATGGCAGGAAGACAAACAAAGAAAAATTTGATTTGCTGACCTGTCTAGCCAGGGAATGCTTGCTGAGGAAGAAGACGACGACGATATGCAGCGGCGCCGCTGAGGTTCAGGTTCCAGCAGCAGCCGGCGACCGTCCGTCCGCCCTGGCCGGCGACCTTGACCTTGTTGCTGGTCCGAGGCGAGGCGAGGGTGTGAGGAGAGGGAGGGACGAAGGAGACGGACAGAGCAGGGGAAGGTAGCTTGCCTCCGAGGGAGGAGGCTGCTTTAAATAGAGGAAGCACGCAAAGAGACAACACAACCAATGGGAGGAACTAGAAAGAGAGTGGCGAGCAGGGGCGTCCCGTGGGGAGAAAAAAACACACCATAAGAAACGTGAATAATGCAGCAGCGAGGTCGCGGCGGTGTATTATTGGACGCGGTGGCGGTATGCAGAAAAAAAAAAAGAGCCGGTTGCAGAGATCAGAGTGGCTTCCTAGCCTTCTTCGGCCGCCCCCAGAGTCCAGAGACATGTTTTGTTTTCATCCGTGCAATAATTGTGTGCAAGTCAAAGAAAAAACATCCGTGCAACAATACTCCGGCGTACTCTGGTCTCGGATCTCCGTGACGCAGCAGACTGGACGGATCGTCCAGACTCAAGAACAGAGTTTGCGTTGCGGAGCTACTTAGTATTCCCTCGGTTCTAGATCACAGAACGAGTATATTTAAGTCTATAGTGAAAACTATATATCCAAAAAAGTCAAAAAATTCTTATAATTTAACGAAAGGAGTACTATGTATCACGGTTGATTTAAGATTTTAAGGCTTCCGAGTTATTAACAATTCAAACATTTAGCAGCTGGTTCACCATCGGGCATGGCTCTTCTTGCCCATTGGCTCCAGATAACTAATTGCCTGGTTTACCATTTCTATATTTCTATTGTCCCTGTCCCACAAAAGGATACACTTCATCAGTATCAAGCTCTTGATAAATAAATATAAAACAAAATCAGGTAGCAGGACATTCAAGGGTTCCTTTCCTTCCGGATTTCTTTTTTTTTTATCTTTTTCAAGTCATATTTCAAAATAACCCCACCTAAGCTTTATGTTTCTTTCTAATCTTTTTGTACAAAACTATGCCACACACCATATGCATCGACCCGATGACATGTTTCACATCGAAGCGCGTTGGAGGGGTCTATTGGAGTATACTCCACCTAGGAAACTCGCCAGGCCACTCATGTATGGCCAGAAACTATATTTTGCCACGGCACCTATTGTGTCAAGACTAAAATCTTAGAAAAAACATACTATTTTCATATGACATTAGATGAAGATTATTATTGTATAGTTGTAGCTCTTAATAAAGAAATAAAAATTGAATAAAAGATACAACAAGCACTGGAGTTTCAATTTAACACGTAGATAAAATTTGCAACAACTAATAAGGTCAAAAGTTGAAAGCTATAGATCCATAATGTCACAGGAAATGATAGGATACGACAAGAGCTTAAATAACTATGTTTCAACTAAATATATATCATGAAATTGAATATACTGTAATCTATCAATTGGAAAATATCAATCCTCCTCACAAATTTGGAAAGATTTAGCCATCAATTCAATATACTTTAATCTATCACAATAATAGGCATAAGACATGTCCTTTTTTATTAATTATTCACCTCTATGGTTATGAAAAATATGGGGGAAAATTGAATACTTTAATGCCTTATATTTCAGAATGGATAGAGTACTTAAGAGTGAAGTCTACAACCTAAAATCCTTAATTTTAATAAATACACAATGAGAGTTTAAGATACAGTAAGCACAAATTTCATTAACTTGATGATAAAAAAGATGTAGCAATTGATAAGATCAAAATTTGAAAATCAAAATCTACATTCATGATGGCATAAGTGTCATTTAAGATTTTAACCCTTGTGGGACGATAATCGAGTTGATGAACTGGTTATCTGAAATGGAAGGTGCTTAGCACCCTAACTTTGTCTAGTTTAGAATGTTCTAGCGGCTGCCAATTTTGTTAGTTGATGATGGGTTTTGGAAAAAAAAAATAGGCTCACATTTATGTAAGTACACTTATCCTATCCCTATAAACATCTCCTAGAAACTAGCCTGGCAGATCTCAAAATTAACATAGTCACCATAGGCAATTTATTGTTGATAGGCGCATCACCTTCCATTGAAAAAAATAGCGTTGCTAAATTTTGGGGAAAAAAAAGTAGTTGAGTTACACTAGGTTCGCGTGATACATGGATATTGAACATTAGAATATATTTGAAATCAGTACTGTATTCGTACTCCGGCTCCGGGGTACTAGTACTTACATGTCGGAAATTTGGTCTCGTATCTCTGTGACGCAGCCGACTGGATGGTACGGAGTATGGTCAAGTCTCAAGAGCAGAGTTTGTTATAAATAAATAAAAAAGGCAGAGTTTGCATTGCGGCGCTATGCTTGTATATACTGCGAACGTTGTTACGGCTGATTTAGTTTTCAGGGCTTCCGTGTCATTATGAACAATTCAGACATTTTTGTTTTATCAACAGGACAGTCATCAGCCAGGGGAATAGCAGCTGGTTCACCATCGGGCATGGCCCCAGCTTGCCGTTTGGCGCCGGACAACTACAGCCTGTTCGGCTGGGGCGAAACGATCGTAAACGATCGTAAATTTTCAGTCAGAACAGTATTTTTCTCTCACACAAACCAGCCAGCAGTACTTCTTCACGAACCAGCAATGAACCAGCCCAGCCAAACGAACAGGCCGCTAATTGCCTGGTTTACCATTTCTATATTTTCATTGTCCCAGTCCTCCAAAAGGATAGACTTCATCAGTGTTCTGTGTGGCGTCACCGGACTGTCTTGACTCATGCAGCAACATTGTGTGGTGACCCAAGATGTTCTGGTGATTGGCGAGCTGCCAGCAGCTGTGAGGCTAGCGCCACATTGACGAATAATCACGCTTGCCAGTGACAACTCGTTGGTGGCAGCTCACATCGGTTATATCCATGCTCTGGGTTTGTGGTTTGGGGTGGGGCATTGGAAGAAATCCTTGCTCGGCTATGCTGATGTTGACATTGACGACGCCTGTGGGTGTCGTGGACCTCGG